CTCTCTTCCTCCACCTCCAGTAGGCACATGGTTGTCCAGGCTGGAGGTCCGCAGTCCGGATGTTGCGGGTTTTCCGAAGGAGTGCTCGCCTCAGGCTCTGCTTAACGTTGAGGTCGCTGATGGCTTTCACCGCCTCGGCTCTGACGATCTCGGCGGTGGCGGCGGCATCTGTGGTCGGCGTGGTTGCTAGGGCGTGGCTGTCGGTGAAGAGGCCCCCGGGAAGTCGAGGGACTCGGCCGAACACGGCCTGGTATGCACTCCGGCCGCGGCTTAGGACCATTGAGTTCACCGCGTGCAAGGCCGGGGCCAGGAGAAGCTGCATCTCGTTCACGTCCGTGGCGGCAAAGGTGTCGACCAGCTTCTCGATCACGGTGCGGAGGAAGGCGTTCTGCCTCTCGACCTGCCCGATTTGCCAGTGGGCGTCGGCCGCGCAATGGTTCACCAACACGCCGTGGGAGCGAAGTCGTTCCTCGAAGGCGCCCTGGAAGGTGCCGTCGGGATCCACGGCAAGCTGTGTCATCATGCCAAAAGGGCGCAACCAAACTCGCTCCAGGGCCTCATAGGCAGTCTCCGGGTCTCTGTTGGGGAGGATGGCTGCTTGGTGCAGCCTTGTTGCTGCATCAACTATCCCCAGCACTATCACAGATCTGCCTCGAAGGTCCCGGCAGTAAAACACGTCAGCTTCCACTCTATCTCCGAATTGCGTCGCCCTAGGTGCCGAGGTCGCTGGTGGCGGTCGCTGTGGGCCGCGGAGCCGGTCACACGTGGCACACTTCAGGCGGCGGATTGCTTGCAAAAACAGTTCGCTAGGGGAGCCCGTCTGTACTGCGAGTCGTAGGAGCTCCTCCGGCGCCCGGAAACGTGACATCCGTGGGGAGCCCGGCAATGGGAATGTCCGGGCTGTGGTCTGGCTGCTTCTCGGGCTCTTCCTCGATGAGGTGACCGTAGGCTAAAATAGCAAACCTCACCGCTTTTGAAAATCGCTGCTTCGAGGCTGAGGTCCTCCACTTCCACTGCTCTGGCGCCGTCCGAGTAGACAAGGAAGGCGGCCCTGGCAGTAAAGGGGATGTCGCTGGGCATCCTTCGCTGTGTCGGCGTCTGCACACATTGGATCCGCTCCAGCCGAAGGCGAAAGAGGTCCGCAATCTTCTGTCCCACCTCGCTCCCCGGGTCCACGTAGAAGGGGCGAGAGCTCGACGTCCCAAAAGAGCGGTTGAGCATCTCGGCCATCTCGTTCCATGAGGTGAGCTCCGTCACGGGGGTGCGGTAGGTGGCATAGGTCTCGAAGATGCCGAACCGGAGGGGCTCCTTGGCGACGACGTAATTCATAATCGCGTCGAGGAGGGGGTCCGGCGGTTCCTTCGAGGAGTCCTTGTTGTCGTGGTGGTCGTGGGGCCCGTTGGTGAGGAAGGCCGCTGCTCCGGGGATGTTGGTGTAAAGGTCGGCCTGGGTGCTGCTATCCAGCCAGACGGTCTCCGGAGTAGGGCCCGACAGTTCTCGGTGCCAGGTGGCCAGGTTGCTTCCCGGCGGGCCACCACGATAAAACCACGTCCTTGCTCGGTCTGCTCGTGCAGTAG